AATGAGAAATTGCTGAATTTGAATTGATATGCAAACTAGATACAATCAACTTAGGCTTGAATAGAGACTGGGAATGGCTGAGCCATTACAAACATTGAATCTATCTCCCCTTGTAAGTATTCTCACACTTCTTATCAACCTGTCTGTACTGGGCTAGTCTTGATTATCACTTCAAAAGTTTTTTCTCTTACTTAATTGGCCTCTCAGAGTTGGTTGGGCAACTCCCACTTTTTCATGCTGTGTGTGTGTGTGTGTATGTATGTATGCATATATATATATATATATATATATATATCTCCTCACTATATGTTCCATTCTATGCATCCGAAGAAGTGGGCTATAGCCCACGAAAGCTTATGCTCAAATAAATTTGTTCGTCTCTAAGGTGCCACAATTACTCCTGTTCAATCCGTTCCAGTTTGTATTTAGCTGTGACCCTCTGAGTACGTTTCCCAGATCCGAAGAAGAGCTTGAAAGCTTGTCTCTCTCACCAGCAGAAGTTGGTCCAATAAAAGATATTACCCCACCCACCTGGTCTCTCGCAAATCCTGGGAGCAGCACCGCTACACCACTGCATACAATTAACTCCAGTCATTTTATTGTCTGACCTTTCCAGGCAGTTGTACCTGGCACTGTCTTTCCTGTGTTGAGATCTCAACTGTTCTTCAAGAATGAAATTTCAATTGGCAAGGCCTAAAGAAAGTACGTGTTGGAAATAATAGTTAAAGATTTAATAAGAATTTTCTCTTTAGTTCCTGTAGCAGCTGAAGCTAATAGAAATGTATGCTTTTAATAATATACTAACAAATCTCAAGAGGTTTAAGTCGTTGGTAAAAAAATTACCTTACAACTTTTACAAACTATTTAACTGAGCAGTAAAAAGAAGTGCAACAAAACACTCAGTGTGACCGTCCCTAAATCCTGTTGCACAAATAATCGTACTTGGCTTTCATGGAGGGCTTTTCATCCATCGTTTTCAAATTGCCTTTCTACAAAAGATAAGCGTCATTCCTATTTTACAAGTGTTGGAACAGGCACAAGGGAGCTGAAGGTAATGTGGGGGACAGTATATGTGGCATAGCTGGTGGCATGAAAGAGGATTCAATAAGAAACAAGATCAGAGTTTTAGGGCTTTTCTATGTGAAGTTTATATAATTCGTGGTACCAGTATATTTATACTGTGCTATAATTCTACTGGTAAATTTCCGTGTGTGTAAAAGCCCTAAAACTCTGATCCTGTTTCTTATTGAATTCTCCTTCATTCCACCAAGAAACAGGACTAGAGATTTAGGACTTTTCTACACAAGAAAGTTTACTGGGATAGCTATACCAATATAAGTATACTGTGCTTTAAGCAGTGGTATCAGTAAAGCTATGGCAGTATATCTCCCCGTGGGGACATCTCTCTTTCAGGATCTAGAGTTCCCTTTTCAGTTTAGTTTGTCTCTCTGGAAATGGTTGAAGTGGAACCAAAAAAGGCACTCTGAATCCCGAAAGAGAGCATCCCCATGGTGACTTACACTGGCACAGCGCTACTGGTATAATTATACCAGTACATTTCCCCGTGCAGAGAGCCCTGAAACTGGGGGGGGGGGAGGTGTGACTAAACTGAAAGCCCGGGAAATGGGTCATGTTTTATGTTTTGAGTTTAAATGGTATATATGTACAAGAGGAATAGTTCCTAACTAATGTGAGAAAATCCTAATGTCCTGTCAGTATAGGCAGGATTGCTTCTTTATCGGAGCGGTCTTGGCCACTTGTACTTGCTGTCATTTATGGAGCTAAAGAAGGCTTTGAAATGTCTGCACCGACCACTTGGCTTTGCTTTAGTGCACAGCAGCAGTCGCTGCTGCCTTCACATAATAATGGCTGAGTTACTTTTCCTCCCTGTAGGCATCACCAGTTAATTAATCACTGGTGAATTAGATATGGTTTAAGGGGAGCAGAATGTTGATAATCACATTCCCTAGGGTGGGACAAGACAGGAGGTGCAGCCAACTGCCTCGGATTCCCCCAGGGGAGTGATTCTATCAGGATTACCACAGCTATTTCAATTACCTTGTTCCTTCGATAACATTTCCTTCAGCTCGCGCCTTGTTTGTGTCTGCAAGGAACCTAGATAGCATCAAAAGGAGGTTGAAGAACACTAAGCTTGCTAGAGCCAGTCTTTAGAATGGACTTTACATTGACCGCTATATACAGTAAGAGTGTGTGCACCCTACAGTGGGCCACGGGCTTACCCCCACTCTGTTTCTCATCCAAACCAGTGCCTGAGAACGGCGCTAGAGCCGCACCATAATCTAGATTCCATGTGTTATCTGGGGAGAAATTCAGCACTGGACCTAGCTCCGCTCCCACTGGAGTCAATGATAAAACTCCCGTTGATTTTAATGCAAACGGAGTTAGGCCATTACTAAACATTTTTGAAAATCCCACTCTACAGCTCTTCAGCTACTGGTTCATTTGTTGATTTGAGTTTGCAGTACTTATTAATACAATTGGTGCTACTGTTTTTGGCCTAGGAACTAAGTAAATTCTCTAAAGCATGCAGGTTTCATGAAAGATGATGTGCAAAATAAGCTTATGTTGTAACTTGTACCCATTAGCTGTTGGGCATTGCTTAGGTATTCTTCTTAGCATGTGCACAACGTGCCTTAGATGGCACGTGACCAGGATTCATCATCGAATTTGGTCCACTGGTTGGATCATTAGCTGCCTGGGCCCGGGCTGAGTACTGATGGGGAGTGCGACATGAACGCTGTTCCATGACTGATACAGAGAGGCGCTGAATGCACTAAACACGATGGTCTTCAGCATTGAGGGCTCTGAGCTGCTCTTAGGCAGTCTTTTCCATCAGGCAGGATCTAGCCCTGCTGTAGCTTCTTTAAAGTTATTAAAAAGGAATCCTTTTAATGAGGATCATTACAATAAGGTTTCATATGTCTGGGAACCCATATAAATGCCAAGTACCAGCGGGGACTCTTTAAGGTGGGTGGAATGTACAGTACTTTTTTGATTGAACAGGTGAACAGGTTGGTCCCATTTGGATCCTATGCATCATTTCCTTAATGCTTTCCCTTTTATTTTCCAGGGTAAGGTGGCTCAGACTGCATGTATGTCTGCATGCAAACACTTATCCACTTCACTGATGCAGCTGCTGCTCGAAGCTGAAGTGAGGCAGCTTACATTGGGGGCCTTACAGCAGTTCAACCTGGATGTAGAGGAGTGTGAACGTAAGGCACAAAATCATTCCATTTATCCTGTTGTACCTGGTTTAGTCGTTGGGCACTGGGGCTTGCTGCTAGGACAGTGGTGGTTCTTGGGTTCATCTTGAAGATCTACTGAAAGGAAGCAACTGTTTGTTTTGCCGTAGCACTTTCCAGCCCCAGAGGAAGACACAGTCCCTGACTCTTAGGAGACCTACATTTAAAAATGGAGAGGAGAGGGGAAATAAAATGTGATCAGGGCGATGATAGGCATCGGTTGAAAATATACTATTGAGGCAACTTCCGTACGGGGGTTCCCCACTTTACAAACACGCTTCTTGGCCTGACCTTTACAGTCTTCATTTTCCGCAATATCCCTTTCTATTTTATTGTCTAAAGTGTAGCCAGTTGCTTGACAAACTTGTGGTTCGTCGTTAAGAATGTGTAAGAGAACAAATAACTAAAATGCCAAATGTTATTATCAAAGACAAAGCGGTACAGTACAGAACGGAGAGAGTTCCTACTTTACCATTCCTTCTGGGAAGCAATTATCACAGTGGTGTTCAGTTCGCCTGAAACAGAAAGAGTGCTTCAAAAAATATGCCTTTAAACTCGGAATATCTATTGTAGGGTTGTTTGCGGGTTTAGATAGCACTTTGCACATCACCCAAGACTTAAACCACCAACCAGCTTTTGGTTTTGTTTTCTTGTATCCACCAGTTTCTTCCTTATCTCTGTTTTAAATACTGCATTCCAAGTACTAGTTAGGCCATAGAAGTACATCCCAACCTGTACTACGACACAACATTCAGGCATCTTGCCTTTCACAGGGTTTTGTATCTGCCCGTGCCACTGCTGATTTCAGCTGTGCAAAGGGTTATGGGTATTACTTTTTGCATGAATGGAAGTAAATAACATTGTGGGAAAGGCATAATATAATTTGTGAACATAACTGCCCGTGTGCTCTGTATACTACAATAATAATGTGGTGTGTGCTATGCCTAATATGTATATATTTGGCTAACAATTTGCATTTACTTTCCTATTTGTCCTTTGAATAACAGTATCTCACTGTTATTCAATGGCATTCACCTGGCAGGGCAAAAAATTCTCTGAAGGACAAGCTGTGGAAGCCCAATTGCTTGGAGTGTTTAAAGCAAGACTGGGCAAAACACTAGAAAATATGCTGTAGGGACTAGTCCTGCATTGGCAAGGAGATGGGCTAGTCATCTGATAGGTCTTTCTTATTTCTAGCCTGTTTGCATTCAGAATAAGTTGTGAACATTTTAAAAAATGTACTGGGTGGTATAGCAGTAGATGATATCAAGCACACACCAAGGATTTGCAGGCGTGGATAATAGTTTAATCATTCTCCTCATTAAGCGATTATGGTGCTTTGCCTAATTATTCTCTGCAATGATTTGATTTCGCAGTGAGGAGAATAGGTAGGAGTAGACTATATTGATGGTACGCAGCATAATTATGCACATACCCTGTAAAAAGCCTTAGATCTTTCTCTTAAAATGCACTTCTACCCTAAAAAAGTGACTTTGTGAAAATGAAATTGCAGGGTTAAGTAATCACTGTGTCCCACTGATTTCAATGTATAGTTTGTTCAGTTAGCAAGGTAAGATTTCTCTAACTGCCAGCCCCACAAATTCAACTTGGGCTGTGATGCTCCTTCTCATGCATCATCCCTAAAGTAATGGGCTTTTTCCAGACCAGATTATGCCCTGTGCAACCCCATTGACTTCAGTGACACCTGTGCAGATTAATTTAAGGTTAAGGATTTACACTGAGAGCAGAATTTGCCCCTATATCAAGCTTAGGGTTTCTTGGGATGCAGTGCAGTGTCCGTGAAACAGGCACAATGTGAATGTCCAGGTGTCACGTGAATGCGTGTGAATCTATATAGACTGAATCCTGATGTCCTTACCGAACTCTTACTCAGGAAAACTTCCTGTAAAGACCATTTCAGTTTGCCTGGCTAAAAACTGGGTGTAAACATTGCATTAGGCCCAAAGCCTTATCCAAGTAATTCATTATCTAGGTGTACATAGGGGTTAGTAAAATGCAGTGCAGAACCGATGGAACCATTTTGTTTCCTTCATAGCAGAGGTAAAATACTGTGCACATGCTTAGTTGACATTTTTTCCAAGTTAAATTATAAGGATATTTTCAAATCATTTATGAATATACAAAAAGTCACCATTTTGCAGTACAGACTAATTTTCTGTGAAATTTCGTATTATAAAATCAAGCAGTTGTTCAGTCAGAGTATCCAAACACAAGACCTGAAACCTCATCCCAAATCTTCTGCAACTGCAGCGGAAAGATGTTTTAACAAAGCCACTAGGGTTTTTTAGGAGAAAATTACTGCCTCAGAGTGATCATTTATATGCCAACTTTCATCTCCATACCATGTAATGTGTCTGTCATTACATCCCTGGGCATTTGTGATAGTATCAAATGATCCACTTCTGCAGTAGATACACTGCTTGATGCAAATATAAATTTCCTCTGCATAGGCTGATAAATAGTTTTGTTGTTGTTGTTTTTTAAATTAACTTCAGAAACAAAAAACACAACTTGGGTTAGAATTTTCACTTGTGGCATTTTCAAAATACCCACCACTGTGGCTCTCTTGGGACCCTGAAAGCCAGAAGGTTGATGTTAGGATTGGGAACGTGTCTTGGCAAAGGTCTGTGGCACAATCTCATTACAGCAGAGCCCTCTGAATTGGGACATTCTGTCAGTCTAATGTTGCTCCCGTTAAACTCAGTGGCAAAACTGCCATTGACTTCAGTGCGAGTAGTACCAGGCCCTGAGAAAATATTGATTGCATTTCATGCTTGTGTATTATAATCTTTATTTGGTAACACCTTTATATAAAGAAATCAGAACTTGAAATGTCACTTCTCTTTAAGTGAGTACCATTTGATACTGTCCAAATATCCCTGTTAAACACAAATGTTGCTAAGATTGTTTCAATTAATCCGCAACCATTGACATTCACTATCAAGGTGAAATAAGTTCCCTGGCTGGTTACCCAGTTAAGTTTCTTCTGTCTGAGGGCCTGATCCTTAACGTTTTCCTAATTCTCAACATTCTTATTTGAATCCTCCTTGAGGAAGGATCTGGCCCCAAGCAGTGTGAACCGTATCTGAATTTTGCAACAGTTCCACACGTAAAAGTCTAGTAATGGTTATGGCCCTGAAAAAGTTGTCTTCAATCCCAAATTGTCAACATCTGGGTTCGTGGAGGGCCAGTCTACGCTGCTGAAAATAATGGGAAGCGTCTGTCATTAATAATAGTTTAGCTTTCTTTCGCTTGGCTGAAAATGGACTTCGTAACCCTGTCGAATTTTCTTCCCATTCATTAACATGGGTCACTAAGCGGCAGCTTTTTTTTCCCTCTTAAAACCCCCAAACACTAAGGAAAATGGATGACATTTAATATAGGTTTTAAAAGCACGATTCCTTAAATTCCACGAGATCTGGAGGCAATTGTTCTGTGAGACAAAATCAGGAGCACTCAGACATTCAATAGCAGGTGCCGCCAACCTGAGCAGCAGGGGCAGGCGACCTGCTCCGCCCAGCCAAGGCCTGAGATGCCATGTCAGTCAGGAAAATTGAGACAGATGCTGTTGCCCTGACCTTCCTATTCATCACTGTCAACCCTGCTGTTTGCCACTGAGAATGGTAAACGCAGACGTAGGTCATTCTTCCTTTTCGAAGACCAAAAGCCCTCTCTCCTATTTGTTTGTCTGGTGCTTTTGCTGACAGCGTGAATAATTTGAATCCTCCTCTGAGGAGCAGCCTGTCCCGATTTTAATGCAACGCTAAAAAACAAACAAAAATCAATCACTGGATAGCCAATGTACTAAGAAAATAAATTTGTTTGCGAGAATTCTATCTACTTGTCAGTTTAGGTGCAAAGCTCAGCTTTATCATCTCCAATAGTGATGCAGTTTGCCTTGTTCCTGCCCCTGCCCTCCACACCTGAAGTATTAATTACCCTCGGTATTTAATTAAAGACTGGTTTTACAGATATGCGAAGCACACATCGCTCCCTTTGGCTTCAGTGGTATGGGATCTTGAGGTGTTAGAGTTTTCGTCCATGATCACATTTTTAAAAAATGTCTAGTGTGTGTGTCTTTGCATAATGATTAGGTACTATGCTGAAAAAAATCTTCAGGTCTGGAGAAGGAAGAAGAAGAGGAGGAATTCTTCAGGTCTTTCCCCGGACCTGAAGAAGAGCTCTGTGTAGTTCAAAAACTGGACCCTTCGTCCAACAGAAGTTAGTCCAGTAAAAGATATCACCCACTTACCTTGAACCAATAATCAGGCAGATGTCTAGGGCCAAGCACTGCACCACCAAACCCAGACATGATCATCGTGGAATTCCCAGTGTGTACTACAAATTCTTCCTGAGAAGCAATGTACTTCGCGTTTTTTGGATAGTGCTTCAAAGTACTGAATATACCTTTTATTTATTTAAAAACCTTGGCAGAGAAAGCATTCTGAGGGCTTTAAATAAATTTAAGGAAACATGAAAGGCCAAATCCTGCCACCTTACTCATGTGAGTAGTCCAATATATGTCAGCAGGATTTCTGGTGTGAGCAAGGTAAGCAGGAATCGAGCTGCCAGGTTCTAACTAACATGTTAGGCTAGTGATTGGAGCGAAACCTGTGAATCATGAGATCTGTCATCCTGTGAATTGTCCCTCAAAGGAAGTGATGGGAACCACATTGCTTCAGACTTCTAAAATTAGGTTGGACAAAGCACTAAAGAAAATTTTATAAGGAACAAAACCTACACATAAAGGTACATTGATTTTTTTTTTCCCAGTTGCAAAACTGTTTCCCAAGATGTATTAATTGCTGAAGAGTTTAAAGTTCTTTGTTCAGCTTTACCAGTGACATGTCTGCAGTTTGCAGAAGGTCACCAGTCACTTTGAAATGTTTTCCTATTATTACTAGTAATGATACTACTACTACTACTACTACATTGCATTTATAGCACCT